ATATGAAGTGCTTTGAAATAAAATATTACGAAACTTTAACAGCTGATATAAATGTTGCTGATGGATATAAGTTATCTTAAAAAAATTTTTTCAATCAATTTTAATAAAAGTTTTGGAGAGCGCATTGCATCAAAAATATAATATAATAGTAATAATTAAGGAAACCCGAATTATTTAATAATAATATGTGAAATATTTACGCAAAAAAATATTGTAAGTAATTTATTATTACATAAAAACTTTTAAAACGTGTCCATTTTTTAACAAAAGACTTTTTTAAACTTCTTTGTTAATAAAATAAAATTCTTCAAGGTTTAATAATATCAAGGTCCTGTATGATTCTTTGAAAGCAGATGAAACACACATATACTCATTATAAAGTAAAAATAGAAATTATACCTGGAAAAAGTTGCTAACAAGGGAAGTAGAAAATACCTGTGATCGATTATGATTCACATGTTATTTCGAAGGTCACGTAGATGTAATTGTTCCGGTATGCCTGGCTTAGGACATCTTCGCGAAAGAGTCACATTAAGAGCCTGTTAAGAAAAATTTGCAGCGGTATACACATCAAATGTCACATCATGTACGATTAAATGTCGCCATATTATACAAAGTAATGGTATTATTCAAACTAGCCATATAATTATGATAATTGTACGACAAGGTTTGCAGCGGGTAAACGTGTGATTTACATGCTTTATTAAAATTCAATTGGTCACGCTCACAGTGTGGACATACTTATATCTACGAAAACATTATTTAATGAGCCGAACGATATACACGAAATTGCACAATTGACCAGTAAAGCCGCGAGGTGCATATAACCGCTACTGCATAATGAGTTTGCCGAGTGTCGAGACGTCGAGTATCAATTTCACATTACATAATGGAAGAGAAGAGAAATAGGAGGTAAGAAAGAGACAAACAGACAGAAGTGTGTCTCGTATCCGCGCTAATCCACACAAACTTTCTTATTCCGCCCCGCTTCCGGTTGTGTAACAGGCGCCTACGCCACACGTACGTTACATCCACCGCGTGTATGCATCATTCTCTTCTTCTCTTGCTGTCCTTTCCGCACGCACTCGAGCACCCTTGTGTTACGCGTTATGTGTACCTCCACAAAAGATCCGCCAGTTTTATAGGAGCTTTTTTTAATAGAACTCCTACAGAAAGGAAGGCAGAGGGTACATGAGGAAGAGAGAAGACTCGTGCAGCTTGTCGATAGTTCGACAAGCGCTGGTGGTTTTTTAGTTACCGACCGACTGTCCGTATACCAGAAATAGGGAATACGAATGCAGGAAGTAACGTATCCTGTGCGACCGATAGCTCAAGGGCCCTCGTGCGCTCTTTTCCTCGTCTAGATCAATTTACCCACCTGCGTAACGTATGTCCCTTCCTGATATCTTTATACGATACGTTGCGTTGTGGAGAGATTGGGAGACTTTAATTATACCATCTTCCTGCTGCGCGAGTAACGATGCATCGCGCATCGGAGTGCATGAATGCCGTCGTTAAGTATCACCGTGATACTCGCTGGAGATCTTTTTCGTGAGAAGAATGATCGCATGTAAATAATCCGCGAAACTGGAGCTCATATTTTGTCTCAACGATGTAAGCAAAACTTAAGAAGTTGAAAAAACTGTTTCTTATCGATGAATAATTATTCTTTGTGAAATTATTATTATTACGATTCCACATCGTTATTCATTCAGTGCATAATTCAAATGGTAAATGAGTCGGATACAAAACGAAGGAAGAAGGAGCGCGGTTTTGGTCGACCGTGAGAATGTGGTCGCGCAAGAGAATCCGAAAACCACTCCTTTCGGCAAGTTCCAGAAGGTATTAAGAGCGTTCATAGAAAGACTATTTTCCCGAAAGGATTACGAAAAGCTGTTCTATTCTGTCAGGAAACACATTTATCATGCGTCTTTGACAAGAGGGACAAGATTGATGAGTCTGATTGACTTCCATGTTTTGTGGGAAGATATAAGAAATTCATTATTTCACCTAAAAAAAAAAGAGAGAAATGTAAAAGCGATATGAATTATTTGTTCGAAATTTATTTAAAATTTAAAATAAAACAGATACTTGCTTCTTATATACATATATACTACAAATTTGTTTCTTTTTTATTAAAATTACTTAAATCATTATTTTATATTATTCATCAATCGTACATTTGTACGAAAATATAGGAACAACGCATCCGAGCAAGTTGTTTTCGTAATTAACAAAAAATAATTTGTTTGGATATTTAATTTATACAAATATATTATAAAATATTAAGTTATATTCGTGTGAATACTTGAATGGAATGTGGCATTTTCTGTCAGCGTTAAAATCTCCCAATGCGCGGTGAGAAAGAACTTATAATGTTTTATAACGCGGAAATGCAATGGAAATTGAAGGTATATTTGAAAGAAATTTGCAATCTAATAGCACCGATCATTACACGTAAAACTTGATCACGACGTGAACGATTCTTTCTATGTAATCGCCACATATGCGTCATATGCGGGTACCCGGAAACTCTCCGTTCAACACTGTAGATTATTAAAATAATACACGTACTTTTTCAGCAACATTGTTAACGTAATGGAAGGTTTCACAATCGCGCACGATCTTGAGGATGCGATAAACACGCTTTCTAAAGAATATGTGCCCTACTCGGCACAGGATATTGGCGTATGCGGAGGCAAATTGCTTACGTAAAAAGGGATCGTATGTAAAGTAGACGCATCCTGCTGTTGATCCCGCAGATTACTTTATCTCAAGCGTTCTCAGACGAAGAGAAATCGCGCTTTCGATGAATCAAGCTGATGCGATTCCTCTCCGCTTTCACTGATTGCTTTTACTTATTTCAAATGTGATATAGCAATGACATGGCGAAACGTGTTGGGCGGTCTCTCTCTTGGAGAGAGAGAGAGAGAGAGAGAGAGAGAGAGAGAGAGAGTCGGCAAAAAGAAGAAAAGATTTGCTTTCTGCACAATAATCCTAAAAAAAAAGCTTAAATTAAGTTATTCTAAAAACCCTAAGAAAGATTATCTGTTGCCTTTGACCTTTTTCTGACAGGAGGATATCGAAAATCCTTTTGACATTACCCCAATTTTACTTGATAGCTTGGAATGTATCAGATTACCTTGGAATGTATCAGATCTTAATGTATGTCTTCGGTGGTTTTTTGATATAAAAAAAAAGTGAAAGTAAGAATATTGCTTTAGAAAAAGCGTTTAAACAATACTGCGTATTGTTGAGAGCAAACAATTCAAAGGATAATTTGGTGAGAACAAAAGAAATATGAAGGTTCGGATAAATATGAAATCAAGGTTATGATTTCTTTATTGTTAGAATATATACATAAAAACGTACCACATAAGCTTTTAATACTATAAGTAACAAATTATAGATAATCAACTATGAAAAAAATAAATTATAACAGAAATTAAACATGTTAATATTAAATGTATCAATATGTACTATTTTGTGAATATATTCTAAAATTATTCTATCTTATTATTTATAATATTCTGAAAGAACACAATTTACAATCCTATTATGTCTCTATTAGTAGAATAAAATAATTTTCTGCCTCTTAAAATTAGAATAAAGATTATTTTGAATGAAAATCAATTAATCTAAACATCTTTACAATATTTAAATACAAATAAGTCAATATTGTGATTGTATATGTTTATAATTTAATATTTATAACACAACACTAACGTATACTTAATAAAGCTTTAAGGTAAATTTTTTTTAAGAATTAACGATTTATAACATTAAATTGTAACGGTCGATAAAGAAGGTAGGTTCTATGATCCATGGATCATCCTGGATCGCCCCAATGATTTCTTGCGCCATCTGAAATGGTTCTCTTTACGTGATCATGATATTGTAACGGTATTACCAACTGAAGAACATACAGTTTCCAAAATTGAAATGTTTTCTTAAATGAATATATTAATTTATTTAATTAACAATTAATATAATAACATTAAATCGTTACATTTTTAATATTTTTAATTATTTCAGTGTATTTAAATTCTATTCTTGATAATATTGTAATCATATATTTTTTAAAGGATTGGCAACAGACTTTACATGTATCATAGTACAGTAATCATCTTATAGGGGCTTGGTGGATCTAGTGAGAGATTTTTAAATATATTATTAAAATAATTAATTTTTTTCAATTTATTTATATAAAAAAAATGTAATTTATTTATTTTTGACGTATTTGTTTGAGAATACCAAAGAAATTTTACAAGAATGTGAAATGAGAAAAAGAATAAATATAAATGAAATCAATTTATTGTATTATACAAGAAATGCTTTTATTAACAAATGCGAAGATAATAAATATCTAATTATGTTACACAAAAAATATAAGTAGTCAATGTCCACTTAAGAAATAATCTTGTATCGCCTTGTAAATATATATTTGGCAACATATCTATATATTGACAATATCTTGTACCCATATATTGTCAATATCTCTTATACGTTTATATTTTTATATATGTAAAGATGTACGTTGCTAATTATTCTTTGATGTGTACATATTACACTTAAAAAAATAGTGAACGGCTTTGTCGATGTTCCGAATAGTTGTCTTAAAAAAAGTTAAATTAATTCTAATAGCGACATATTCCGAATGTCAGGCAATATTAGAATATTATGGATTCTTAAACTTAATCAAAAATTTAATTAGCGCAACTAATTTCTCGATAAGTTAACAAATCCGCTGTCGTAAGTTTTGTTGAACCGACAAAACGATTCTACAATTATAGCCGGCACAGAGCCGACAGTCTTTGAATGTGGCGTTCTCGTTAACGAAACTGACATCGCGATGTCATCGATTGTCAGCGAACTACTTGATTATTTGGCGTGAGTTTCTTTGGTCGTAACTTATTTGCTAACGTACGATCGGGAATGCGTTCACAAGGGCAATATCGGACGATTGATCGATGCGTCATTAGTGGGTATTTAGGACGAGTTCAGTTGTAATTTGTTGAGCTGCTTGAAGACGAGGATAATGAAGAGGATCCTGCTGAACTATATGAGTTAGAACTACCAGGCGAGTAATAACTGTAAGCAATGTTTTGGGCTTCCACACTATTGGTTGGCGTCCAAACGCGGGAATAAGGACCGTTACCATCCCACGTATTGACGGGATCATAGCTCGACGTCGTCGAAAGCATAGGTGGAGCACCATATGCCGATGCCGGTTCCATAGACATTCCTAGGATCGAAAAACTACACTTTTTTTTCGCATTCTATGTTACGAAAATTACGCAGCACAAATGTGAAACTTTTTTGTTGCAATTATTTCTTCAAAATTTATTACAAATCTCCATATAATATTTTCTTTATGTTTTAATAGATATTGGAACGTTTAATAAATTATAAAATAATGTTCTTATACAAGAAAGTGAAATTATTTTACATAACTGATTATGAATTATGAAAAATAAAATTATTTTAAAAGAAGCGATATAATAGAAAGTTATTCTTTATATTAAATATTAAGGATACTTATTAGAGTATTAAGTATCTACATATGTATACGTACCCATCGGCATCATCATGCCGCCTTTTTTGAAGAGTTGCATGGCAACAAATCCAATCACGATAAGAATGGCAAGCTTCGATAGGACCAAAGCTTTTAAAGCTTTTATTCCAATAATAGCGACAAAAATAGGCATTAAAGCCTTGAACTTCAACTTCAACAATAGCAAGAATGGTAGCAGAAGCTTCTTTTTCAAAAGTCCTCGAGCTTGACTCGTACCTACGTCATTGTTTTTAAATTCAATGTCAAGATCAGCTAGGCTTCTGCTAGGTCTGTATTTTAAATTAGCATCGACGAAAGGTAAATCAACTCCGTAATCGAAACTCTTGAGATATTTAAAGGTCCTGGCGACGATTGCCTCGTCAACGGTTTCGAGCGACCTCGCTTCCGTAGCGATCCCCAATTGGTTATCAAGATGAGTCAGAATTTGATGTTTCAAACAAGACGTCCAAGATTCCACCTTTATACATTCATGCAAGGAATTTATCAAGAAGTCCTGATTAGCCGCGCAAGTTCCAATCAACAGAATAATAACGCCTATTGATGCTGTCAGTCGCATGTTGGTATCCTTTTTCTTTCTTTGGCACGTTTTGTAGGAAATTATTTAAGTTGTCCGTGTGTGTTTTCTTCCTTGCTGTCTCGTGTGGATCCCACTCGTTGTTTTCGCGATACCTCGTGTCAATAAAAGCAATCGATCGTCCGCCCGTGCAAGTGAGCGATCATCGGCAATCGAACTGCGACTGACGGAGGAGTGGCCCGTCCCTTTTATTTAATTTGTCCCCCTTGAATCTATGTTATTCGGTCGCGCATGTCGGGAATCTACGATTGAAGGGAAATTATTCAAATTTCACTGGCATAGAGCGTCTTACCTCCAATTTCCCCCTCAAGCTTCCCTCACACTCATACGTGTACATGTATCGATTGTTGTGCGTCGCGTACGTTGTACATGATGGCATGCAACGCATACGGGAAACGGAACTTACGCCTCGCGTCTCTTCACCTTTGCAAGTTTTCTTACTTGACTTGTCGTAAAGTGTCAGGCGCCGTTTCGCGGCCCATATGCCTTCTATAATTACGATTTAACAGAATGAGTAACTGTGGAGACTCTCTTGAAAATCGCAAGCTATGCATATATATGTGCTACACCGATGCAATACTACTATTCCAGCGTTACAATGCAACACATTGTTTTACGATAATTACAATGATTTACGCACTGCTAATGCCGTACACTTGCTTCATGCATGCGACATCGTAAACAGCAATAGTATTCGTCGAGAGAAAGCGCAACACGTAAATATAAATTATTATAATCATGTTAAGAAAGGTACAATTTTTGTCATATGAAAAATTAGGAATTCCCTACATTATTTTAATTCTTTACAAAATATTGATAGCAAATTTTTGTGTTTCAAATATTGATTTATAAAGTTACTTTTATTCTTGAAACTACTTTTATGCTGTTTATATGCAATACATTTGTTTTCCTTTTTTTTTCGTATGAAACTATTGAAACGTGCTTCAATACTTTTTTATATTTATTTCTACCTTTAAATTAAAATGAAATATAACGATAAAAAGAGATTTATTACTGTTATACATATATGTATTATTTGCTAGGTATATTAGATCTTAGATGTATTAATTGAAATGTAAAAAATAAGAATAATTATAAAAAATTATAATTATAATGTACAGTAACAATAATTAAATGTGTGTACAAATTGAAATTTTAGCTTACTCATTTTTATTTATTTTAATTTACTATCAGTCTCCTATTTCTCAAAATATCTTAAAATATGTATATCAAACCATGGATGAGAATACGATATAAGCATTCAAGCGAATGGCTAAATATAATAAATATATAAGTTGATATGTACTTTTAGATGCACGTATTATGTACAGACATATAGATTTTCTTGTTTTCATAGAAATTGCAGATCACGTAATATGTTAAAATAGTGAAATGACTTTTTTAAAGTACTGATTTCTCCAATCAACTTTCGTAAGAAACGAAAGTGATCCCTGATCACATTCGCATACATGTGTGTATGCGTATAATAGAACGTCTTTAAATCTTAATTAAGATCTTATAAGGTTTCGATTGATTGAAAATGTAAGCATTCTTCACTACTGAATATAAAAAAAAAGAAAGATAATTAAAACATATTGTCAACAAATCAGTCATGAAAACACAGTATAATCTACAGATAAAATAATTATCTAATTTGTTCTTTTCCGTCATTAAAAATAAAAAATTAATAAGCATTTGTGATCTAGCTTTGTTATTGGCTTTCTTCTCCTTGTTTGTTTATTATTTATCAATTGTACGGTCTTAAAATAAAGATTTTAGTATTTGATAAAAAATTAATTTAAAATTTACTTATACATATATTTATACGCATACAAGAAGAAATAAATGTCGTTAAAACATGCGCAGGGCGCGCGACGCTTAAAGCGTTTTTAAAAACTTTAAAGATATTTAAATGTCTTAATAAATAAATAATGAACAAATAATTATTCTCAAACCAAATTTAAATTTATTTTCCTTTTAATCTAAATTTCAGCACTTCTAATTTTATTATATACATACAATCTTGTAATGTAAAAAAGTGTGTTTTGATTTAATATTATAATAAATTTATGAATATTAATCCGACATTGATTTTTTTCTTTAATAAATTTTAGCATTGAATGATAAGCATGGCGGCATCGGAGAAGCAGGTTTACAAATAAGCATAGATTGAAATGATTTGCAATAATAATTTATTAAATAGATGGTAAAAATAGGAAGCTAAGTATTTTACAAAAGCGTCTACAGGCCGATAGTGACATTAAGATTGTGCGTGAGCGGAGTATGCGAGATTGTGCGCAAGTTGTGACGTCGGGAGTTGATCTTGATCCTGGAAAGATCTATATTGCGTTTGATATTCCCATCCGTGAGCAATAGGTGCTGCGTGAGTATCGGCGGCAATTTTTTTGCAAAGTTGGAAAATGGCCATGCCGACAGATACGATGAAACTGAAGAAAGAGAGCTGCAAAGCGTTCCAGGCTTTCAAACCAAGCACACCTATTGCTAGAGGGATCAGAGTCATCGCCTTCAGCAAGACAAACACGAGTATAGGGACGATGACTTTCTTCAGCTTGGATCTACGAGCCTCGTCGACAGCACGGCCCTGGCCGAACTTGACGTTGAAGATGAGTTGATCGTCTTCGATGTTACGCGAGCTCACCTTCACGGTGGAGTCTAGTGGCAGCTTAAAGGTCACGTCGTGAGAGGCCAAATAAGATTGTACATTATTGAGGAAAGAACTTTCGCTACGGGCAGACGTCGTCTCAATGGGGTATGAATTATGTGTAACTTCCACCGTTTCGGATATCTGTAAAAATAGAAACAGTAAAAAGGTGACGTTACGTGTATAAGTTATTTATGGAACATCATTTTTTTCACAAAGTGAGAATTTTATTATTTATTTTCAAAAAGTGAAAAGAAATAAAAAATAATAAATTAAAATCTGATAACTGTTTGAGTAATATATTGAGAGAGTTACCGATACTTACCTTGAAGTTATCTTTGCTGAAGACTTGATCGAGCAGATTAAATACCTTAAACTTCATACAAGCAATCTCGTCATTCTTCTGCGAACACTCGGACCTAGATTGATCTACCATATCATCCATAGCACTTTTCCAATTTTCATTCTTGGTTGGTTGTGCAGCAGCCAACGCTAGTAGGCCGCACAAGATGAAGATCTTCATAGCGTTGACAGAGAGTATATATCCGTTTGTGAAGATTTCTGAAGAAAATTTGTGTTGTGTACACTTGTTCGAAGATAATGAATAAGGACGATCGTAGCACGACGACTGATGCCAATGAGTTGGGCAGTACGGTATTTATACGAAGGCCTATCGTCGAATCGTACAATGCATGTTGAAGAATCGCGTAGCACGCTCCCGAACACTTCCCCACTTCCATCCGGGCGTGGATTTTCTTTTCGTTCAGTATGGTCTTCGATTATTGAGGCCTCACTACAGATCATGTCATGACTACCTAATGAGGGAGGATAGACTGGACAAACGTGAGATCGCGCGACACGCGGCACGCGACGCCGAATCGGGATGATGCCCCCGATAGGTCATACAATTCGCTCATGAAACGCGATGGAATCTATATTATTAATGAGCAGTAAAGTTTGCTTTCCACGAACGATATCGGAAGACCCACTTGTGACGGTAGTCGTTCATGGAATATTTTTGAAGCATGGCTTGAAATTAAATTTTTTATAACGAACGCAGCCGGATTTTATAATTAAATTTGATTTATCCGAGTGAAAGCGGAATTAAAGAAAGTTATTAGAAACGACAAGAGGATAGAACAATAAACTTTCAAAAATTTTCTACAATATTATATAGAGCTTTATCATTGAAGATAAAATAGAAATTTTAATTTATATCTAGTATAAATTATACAGTACATAATAATTTTTTTTTAAACGGTGCAACATACGCAAAAACTAATTTAATATAATGTATAATCAAATTATTTAATTTAATCTTTATTATTGTGAAAACAATATTTTGTACTAAATGACTTTCAGTTTTTCTTACATAATTTATTAAGTTATTCTTTAATAATTTGTTTGACTTTTATATTCGAGCAAGATGCGTGCAATAATTTCAATGATTTTAATACAGAATGGCGTACAAGAATTTGATATAATTAATTATTATAAGTAGTATTTAAGTTACAGATAACAAAAATTAATCTTGAATAAGTCAAATAAAAGGAAAGATTGGAAAAAATAAATGAGTAAAAATTGTTTATTTTTCTAATTATTTTTAATAACTTAGTTATTGTAGGCATTCTTCTTTCTAGCAAATAATCGGAAATTATATATAAATAGTAAGAATCTTTTATCCTTGACACCAAAGTTGTTGTAACATTGGCATTGAGTCAATCACTCATTCATACCACGATCGTGGCTTTCCACATGAGTGGTACGTTAAAATTCCCTCCTGCCTCTTCATGTTCTCTTCACGTCTCCTTATGTCGTTGACCTGATACCTAGACATTACTAATTTCACCCTGCTAGACCTAATTAAATTATAGCTCCTGAACGAACCTGAAAGAAAATAGTTTGTTCGGGGTACATCAGCGATGCGCATTGCGTGCGAGTTTCTCGCGCGAAAATGCGCATAAGGTACCATTGAAAACACTTCTGTCTTCCTGCCCGACTTCTTCTTTATCGTAACAATGAAACGACAACTGGAATTTTGGGTCAAGTTTGCATAAACATTCAGGCCATCTATTCGATGAAATGTCGATCAATATCTTTCGTATTTTGTATAAATAATCTATTCGTTTTACTCTCAATCTTACTAGAAATAAATCAAGTTTGTCGAGTATGTCAACAAACGTTGCATGAACTGTAAAATAATCCCATGTATTACACACACATATATATATATATATATATATATACAGATTGAAAGCAATTTGATGAGTACAGATTACATATATCAACAATACGCAACTTCAGTTAATATTAAATTATTATATCAATTTTACTGATAATTCATCTATTTAAATTGCATATCACTTGTTAAGGATATGAAGGTAATGTCTTTTTCAGTTTTGAAACTTATTAAATCTTTCGTTCTCTCATTACTATATATTTATTATTTATTTATTTGTTTATTATTCTTTTATAAGTTATACTATTTTTTACTACCAAAACAATAGCGTTTTTATATGTGAAAATGATAGTTTATATAAGTATTAAAACAGAATAATGAGACCAAAGCGACAAAATTTATTTAATAAATTCATGTAAAAACTTTTATTTTACAAAAATAATACAGATGGAATACACTAACAATGAATAAATATTAAATAAATCTACACGTGATAAAACGATAAATTTTGTTTTTACACTTTATTTCCTATAGGCTCTGTAAGGTCCGTGAGCTGCATTGTCCCAATGAGGAGGGTGTTCTATAGGTGGATGTCCGTAATGAACAACCTCGTAAGCAATTTTCGGTTTCGTCAATTTGAAAAGTATCATCGCTCCGCTGAGAACCAACGACAGAAGACCCAACGTCAGCGCTTTCCACGTTTTCAGAGCGATGAGACCAAGAGCAAGAGGTACTAAAGCAGTAGCTTTGAACTTGAGACCAAGTAAGAACGGTATCATTACTTTTTTGACGAAACCACGGCCTGCAAGTAGAAATAAAATCTTAAAGCGTCCTCCAAGAAATCTTATAAAAATTATAACAATTTTATAGTTATTTTTCGTTTGCTATTAGTTTATACTACAGAAATGCTGATTATAAAATATAAAATGTAAGATAATGTCAACCGGAATTTGTGCTATTTGTATTAAGTTACCTTGCTCATTGGAAGAATCACTAAGAGGGATTGTAAGACTCTTAGGCATGCTGTCAACTAAAGATCTGGGGACAATGCTGGATTCTACAATCGCTTCAGGTAGTTTAGCTTCAAGCTGATGGCTTGACAAGTACGCGTCCAATTTCTCGAGCATCATTGTTCGTAGAAGTTTTCTCTTGGATGGATCTGCGGCATCGTATTGTGAAGGAAAGTCTTCTGCCTTATGCTCTGGCACGTCACGGGATTTAACTATTGCTAAATCCTCCGTAATTGTTAATCTGTCTTGTTTTACAGCATTGGTGATGTAAGCTAACACTTTCGGTTTAACGCAAAATAACATAGATTCGCTATCTGTGCATCTAAAATATTTCAAATTTGTATGTTACATAAAGCATCATGTATTTATAAGGTATTATTATTTTAATAATTATAAGTGTGTATATATAACTTACCTGTGATAAATGTCTTGCAAGACGTCGACGGTAGTTTCTGTTTGATGTGCATTAGTGAGAATGGCCAGAAAGGCTACCGATGCAAAAGTGGTTAAGATCCTCATGGCGGTATCACCGATTCGCCAGACTAAACACCGAATGCCAGTACAGTTGAAGTCAACCGGGTTTTATAGCTGATGGCAGTCGCATACGGTCGATGAATTTTGATCACGAACGTGTTGCTGGCTGGGAGGAAGAAAAGAAGAAAGCCTCATTATCTAGGGTGTCAGTATTTTCACGACTTTGAATGTCGTCATTTTTCTAGAATAATTTCGATTTCATCTATACTCATCTATACTACTTCTGTTTTAATTATATCCATCAAAGAGCTATATTAAGATGGTATTTATTCGGAATGCTTTTCAATAAGTTTGTAATTTTTGTAAATATTTCTACACTGACTTTTACTGGTCAACAAAATTCAAAATTGTTCTCTGTTTTTGTAATTATAATAAAAAATATATATTTCTGTTAGATATATACGTATTAGTCAAAATACACAAAATATTATAATTTTATATATATGATATCGTAAAATTATAATTTTTATTTTTTTTCTTAAATTTTTAAATGCTTTAATTTTAATGTAAATTTTAATAAAATCAAACAAATAATTTATAAACATTTTAGTTCAAAGAGCATATTTTTAAATAATTACATTTACATTTTATTTACAATTAGCAGATAGTTTGCTTAACAGAGAGAAGAACAAAAGTTAATAGAGAAGACATAATTTTACAATATTGTGATATTTAAAATGATATTAGATTTTTCATATTATTTTATATTTACTTAATTTAACGAATTTTTTTTCTAGATGCCTTTGTCAATCAATAAAATAACAATAGAAAATAACGTGTTTAAATTAATTTATTAATTTAATTAAATAAATTTAAGTATTTTAATAATTATTATCAGAGGGTAAAAGTTATAAAAATTGCTCACAAAATTTTTCATACGATTTTAGAAAAAAAGACGAATAAATAGAATTTTAGAATATTTTTATAAGGCATTATTTTTATTTAACTATCCTATGTGGCTTGAGAATTATTTACTGTTAAAAATATCGAATATAAACTTTATAGATGTAAGGATAATATATAGATATTATATAAAAATATTAATTTAATGTTTTATTGAATATAAATTAATATACGATCAGGCCATATGATACATTAAAAGTATTTATTTTTTACATTGCTTTTTGATATTTGTATTTAAAGGTTAAGAATAAACCTTAAATTAGTAAAAAATAAAATTAATTGGGTATGGCACCCGAATACGTAACAGTAACTGATTAATTATCTACAAATAATTCTTATGTATTACGATAAACGCGCTCTTAATTTTAATTTTTATACATCACACGTATCATGCAAAATTGTAACATTTTTAATATATTTTTAATTTATTAAAACGGCGTGCTCAAATACTTTTTATACTTCGTATATTATCATAAGACACAGAGTTTTTCTGAAATGATCTAATTAATAAGTTTTATATGAATAAACATTTAAAAATATATATATGTTGTATTACAAGAAAGAGTTTCATTTTTCATTTATAAAATACTATAAAATAGAATAACTTCGATGAAAATTAAAAAAAAATGCCTAGATAGCACGTATGTACACATGTCTGAACATATAAGATGTCTTAAAATGTTTTATGTTTCTATTTTAACATACGTTCTGTGTAGGCATTATCAAAATGATCAAAGTTATCCTAACTTTAAGCAAAAGTTATCCTATTTTGTTATTAAAGTAGGTAAAAGTTATAAAAGTTGCTCATATAGTTACTCATTCAATTTTAGCCAAAAAGAATGAATAAATAAAATTCGTGTGTTTTCCGAAATGTTCAGATATAAATTTATTAATACAGTGGGAAAGAAGATTGTAATATGGGCCACTGCGACTTGTACAGAACCAAATTAAAATTTGGTTATACTTAACATCATCTTTTTTTTATAGGAGACGATGTTAAGTATAATAAAGTTTTAATTTGTTCTGAGATAGATATCGAAATTATGAAACAATTATCGCTATGACTAGCGCTACTTCTTTGTTGATAATGTTTATTTATTATAACGTAAAAAAATCAATTAAATATGATTTATAATATCAAGTTTATTTATGGTTCGTCAGTAATGAGTTTATACTGTAAATTAATTTTTTAAATGTTATTCTTATGTTTTGAATAAGTAAAAAAACTTTAATAATTATATTTTTTACTAATTAAATGTAAGTTCTTTTATTAATGATTCTATATTGAGCCCCCTAAAAGTAGATAATATGTAGGCTCTAAGATTTTAAAGAACAAAAAAAAACATTTAAAAGTATTATTTTTGCTAAAAATCTTTATAATTATTATTTTAATATGATTTTAAAAAGTCTCTAGAGATTTCTGTAAAACAGGGAATAGTGGTTAACACATTCACAAAGACACGATCAATATAAAACTCCTATTAAGAGAACGTATTTGTGAAGAGAAATTTTTGAACTCAATAATACCTCAATACATTCATAATTGTCTATAAATTCAATTTTAAGTTTGACTTCGTGAAGAGTCTATAAACAACTTTGAAGAAATCAATTGTGTAAAAATATAAAAAAGGGCGCCTACTTTACATTGCATTCGGATAATATCGTTATGCCTTTTTTTATTTAAACAATTTTTTTCGTTTTGTGGAAACTTTTCAAATGCGCTTTATATTAAACTTAAATCAATAAATTATATTGTTTGTAATATTATTAACTTGAATATAATTAAAAAAAAATGGCGGCGCCCATATTACCACTTTTTCCTCTATAATTTCTCCTGTTATTTCTTAAAATATGAATCTTGAAAAAAATCGCATAAAAGTTATTTAAAAATTATAAATCTCGCTTAACTTATAAAATGCCACATAATCCAACATAATATGAATCTTATTATCTAATCATATTTCATAATAATATTCTTGGAGACAGTGATCTTGCTGACAACGTGTCAATAAACTGAAAACTTTGACATGCCATCACAAAATTCACCGATTTTACTCCTCACTAAATTCGGTCATTAAATTTGAAAAATTGACATAAATTATAACAAAGTATAACGTTCAACATGTTGATCAACATCTTACTAACTAAATTAATTGCTAGGATTAGTACGATAGATGAACCTATCCGCAGGTCATCCCAATTTTTTCTAATAGGAAAATTGAAGTTGATATGAATTCACACACGTCTCATACAGATATTCATAAATTAATGCATGGCAGTATATCGTTGGTCTTTCTTATAATGATATTGCGCAACGTTATACGACGCTGAGCTTCTAATGTAATTTCTTCGGCCTCATTGAGCAAATGTATACGTTCAGTATTCATACGAGATAACATCCGTTACGTTTTAATTGCAGATTATGTGAGTTGATATAAATTCCACATTATGAAGTACTTATTCGATATTACGACACGGATAGGTTTTGAGGCAATCTCCACCATTTTGACCATGTCTGGCTGCATTCATATATCTATAGAATTTCTGACTGGACGTACTTCCTGTTACATCACGCCTGAGTTCTTGCGGATCTCTGTAAAACATGTATAATTTTTTAGATTAATCTTCAAATATTATATATATTATATACAATAATATTTTTAAAAATAATATATTTAAATAAATAATATTTAAAAACAAGCATTGTGAGAGTATTATACGTTTCAATTAAAGTGCTTGTTTTGAGCCGCGCCGACCCGATTTATGTTGTTTTCTTTACTTGTTACCGGATAATTCAATATACACGCATTGCTCTGAAACGTAATTTTGTTGCTCCTAAATAGAAAGTTACTTTTCAAACGGCTATAATTATGCGTAAGCAGATTTTCCCTACGAACGAAACGGAACTGTACTATATTTCCGGTCTGTCGAGTAGCCGGCTCGACTAAAAGTATTTTCATCTCATATTTCATGTCGATTGTTAATAATATCCTAAATAAGAGTCAATATACTCAAGCTAGGTAAGACTAGGATGATTCACGAAATGGCAAAAAGAATGATATAAAGAAAAGAGAGAAAAAACAGAAGAGAGAGAGAGAGAGAGAGAGAGAGAGAGAGAGAAACCAACATGACCCGATTAAGTGATTTGGAGCGCGCGGGCGATCTCCACCTTTCTCTTTGTGATGTGCGATTTAATCGATAAGACACGTATAGTTGCTACTTGTTTTATACCTGGAAAGTTCATTCGACACGAGGTTACTGTGTGGTGAGTAACCCGCTGGATTTTTGTACATACTGCAAACGAGCATCTCTCTGCACGTCTCCTCATAGAATCTCAACTGTCCGAAGATATCCTCCAGTCGAGCGATTATCGGGCCGTAATACTCGTCTTCTGTATCCTTTCGCGAAATCGATACAGGAGAAGATGCGACAGGTGTCAAAAACCTCTGTGCCTGATTTGGGTGAATCGGGCGTATGTTTGGCGTAAATATCGCGTAAGAATTCTTTATCGGTGTCTTTGCAGACACGAGGCCTGGGTTTATCGAAAGTATAGCGGCGGAAGTTGGCTGTGACGCGGGTCGCCGGTATCCGGAATATACCAAGTTGTGGGCATTGGAATTGTCCAGATATGAAGATGTAATTGGCTTTACGTTCGGCGCATATTGAGGCAATCCGTATGGGCCTGAGTATGTAAGTCCCGAAACTGAGGTCGGAGCTGGTACTACGCGAGTTATAGTTTGACTGGACTCTTCGTAGGGTTCGTTTTGAGGCTCGATACCCCATTCTTTTAGTTCTTCCAAATCCTTCCGATACTGAATGTGAGGATGAGAAAAATCGGTGAAAGCGTCTAAATTATCATGAGAGTGATCGTAGTACGTTGGAACAGCTACTGGGACCGGCACGTGATGATGATGATGCGCTACCTGAAATAAAAATTTAGATTGTTTTAACATTATTTAATACCGATAAGAAAATGTTATGCGAATACTTTATAATTAAAATACGAATAATTCGCATGCATACCTGATGATGGTGATGATGGAACTTGGTGGCTTGGCTTGAATAATAGCTAGAGCAAAGCTTAAATATGTGAGCAAATGCGGGTATGAAGAAGAGCAGCAATTTTAGGAAAAGTTTCTTGGCAGCTCCCACACCAAAGAGAAATGGTATTATGAATAGAAATTTCACTTTAATTAACTTGATAATTAAAAGGAGCGCCAGAAAGCTGGTCAACAATTTATTTTGTATGAATTTCTCTAAAATAAAATAAGATATTACAGTCTCCATTCTTAATATTCTGTATTCTGTAATAAATATTAAAGAATTTGACTTTTCTTACTGATTTTTTTAAAAATTCGCCCCTGCTCTTGTACACCTTCAGTTCCAAAATCTACCCTGAGTAATGCGCCGTTCTCGTCTATCTCGCGCGGGCTTATCTTCATTGTGGCACCCTCAAAGAAAAATTGCGGAAGTTGAATTTCATAATTACGAGTTGACAAAAATTTCACTGTTTTCCGCCGCAGAGCGTTTGTAATCTCTTCAAGTGGTGATTCATCACCAAACTTTCGACCCTGGATCTCTGCTTCTTCGGCTTTATTTTTACAATCATTCACGTCGACATCTACGATATTCTCGTGGACATTATTACGATTTTCTCTCTTAGGGCACGTATCGTAAGTGATGTTGTTTTTCGTAAGTGTAAGACCATCGAAAACGGTGATATTGTCCCTTTCGATGAACACATTGTCAAGATACGTGTATGCATTTTTTTGTATGCATGAAAACGTCACTTTCTTTTTGCAATCCCTAAAAAGTCCATGCCATAGCTCGTTTCCGGTATCGTTGACATTTAACGTGTTAAATTTTAAGAACTTCGCGTAAAACCTGAATTTTTCAGCACTAAATAACTCCGAATACGATAGCGTAATCGAAAGACACAGCAGAATTAATGTCGTTCCTCGATACATCTTCAGTATCACTTGCAGAGATTTAACTATGTTTAATATATATGCATATATTTTATTTGACTTTTGTTTATGTATGACCAGAAGTGTGAGGGTAACGTGCCGGAAGTACTGCACGCTCTGAATATATATGACCGGCACCAACTACTTGTTTAGTAACGTGAACCGGTACACTTTTGATTTCACGAAAGGGTCATCATCACTAGTCCACGTGCACGTCGGATTCTTTGGTATCTACCCGTAATTGTTACACACCCTTCCTACTTATTAGAGTCGTTCAATGTCAATTTTCCCCTTCCTGTTCGTGGCCGAAACTTCACCGCGACCTTCTCCCACCTCTTAGCGACATCGATGGTCCTCTTCTTCACGATTCGGTGCGACGTGAGCTCTGTCGCCGCGATCACGTTGCATTGCAGACGTCAATCGTCATGCTGACCACCATTATTCGCATCGCTATATCATCACATATGACTTCAATTCTCTATGCACTTTTTAATCGTTTTATCTTCTTCACCCCCTTTCTTTCTCCCTTATCTCGTTCGTCGAGACGTGGTACGTTCAATCTCTCGCTTTGCACTAACCACGAGCCTCTCCGTTCTCGGTTACAATTCACCTGAGCGTCAAGTGTGTCAAAGGCCCTCCTACTCCGTCAGCGAGCTCCTCCGTGGAAGGTCATTATCGTCTCCTCTCGGACTGCAACCGACCAGGCCTGTACTTACATATACGCGCACGTTTAAGACCGACCGGCTCTTAACTGTGGACCTGGTATATAAATATGCAGTGAGGTACTTTTTGGACACAAGCTTGCACTGTTTCTCGATCGAGTTTGAATGCCACGTCTGCTCATCTTTTCAATATTCAGAGCATCTAGAATCTAGGGTAATATTTAAAACATAAATCATATACCTACGTTAACAATCAATACGTTAATTTATCGTGTTTATGATCTAATACATTAAACTTTATCGATATAATTAAAATTTTTTTTTTCTGTAAGAATATATATAAGTGTAATAAGTTAGAATATAATATGCTTTCATCAGATAAGAATTAATAAATTAGTAGTAAACTTTATTTTAAAAAATTCGCAAAAATTTACTGTTTTTATCGTGAATTGCCTCATATATTTATTATTGGTCAAATTATAAATTTGTATTATGCAATGTTGTAATTACATAAGTGTACAGGTTTATGAAATCTAATTAAAATGTATAGGTACATATGTGATTCGTAATAACATTTTATATATAAAAATTGATTGCGACTTTTTTTGCAATTTGGTTTTTTGAAAAATAGTTATGACAAAATTTTTCCTATGAGCAATTAGTATATAATTAAACTATCGTATAAAGCATTTAATATACCAAAATTATATGTGAGTCTAATATGCATTCCAATGTAAATCCAGTTTAACTTCCTTATCTCCTTTATAGCAAAATAATAACTGTATTTTATATTAAATTTTTTATTAAATACAGTTATAAATTATTTTGAACCTTAAAAGATCGATATTAAAATTATTAAGTGAATAAAATTTACCATAACATAATAAATTAATTATATAATCTTAAATAGATATCTTAAATATAAATATAAATACATATATTTGTAAATACCAATAATACCGAACATTATTCCTTTTTTTAATTTAATTACTATTTACAAAAATAATTATGTCTCTTAAATTTTTGAAGTATAGTTTCTTTTATTATAAAATTATAATATACCTAGTTCAATAAAAAGACATCATGCGTTTTAGATATACATATATTATTATGTATAAACTATATTTCAAAAATTTTAATTATGTCTTTTATTTTTTATGTTCAAACGATTATAGCATTAAGAAATAACTGAATAAGAATATATTATATTTTTTGCTAAAATATAAATACAATTACAAGTTATCAAATGGTTGATATCCCATTTCATCATAAATTAAATTGTTTCAAATTTTAGGTACGTATCATATATCGAAACATAGAAACATACTTTCAGAGATCCGTTAATATAATGAAATCATCAGTAAATCACAAATTAATGATTTATTCTTTAGGCTAATACTGCATCATACATATGCCGTATCTCTTTACCGCTACGTTAGAATAATATTAATATAAAAGCGTAAATGTGTTAAAGCGTAATAATAACCACAAACATCATTATAATATAGGCAAAAAATTATGTTAACATAAATAATACTCTTAAAAACTACTTATTTATTTTATTACTAACATCGCAATATATAATACTTTTACTCTAAGAAATAATATTATTTATTTTGTAACTAAATACGTTTTTAAAAAGGCATATCGAACAAGTTAAAAACCTGCTTTATAATCTCCATCAAATACGCATTAATATCAACAAAACATTATTAAATAAACATCACTTTGCTACATTTCTCTCATACTCTCCAACCGCTTTTCACTAATAAATTCCTGGTGAAGGTGTTCTCCTTATTCCAGCTAAAGAGGAGAAGAGTAACTTTAAAATACATAGAATCCATATCTAACCTATGTCTAATGTATCTAATGATAGTTAGATATATCTTCTTCAGTACGTTCATAAGCATCGATTTGTAATAATAATCATTGAAATATGAAGATGTTTGTATGTAGCATCCATTATTAATTTAACATTTAAACACAAAATCTTGCAATGTTTTAAAACTTCTTTTTTGTTTTCTTAGTTTTATTAGATCGATTTTTTACATTATAAAACTTTATCAAATATACTAAATTATTTATACATTTTTCACTTTTTCTTCTTTCTTTATTATTTAAGTTTAAGTTTTAACATATCTTTTTACACATACAATAATAGTATTATTAAATGTCTGACTCTTATTCTATATAATGTGTAGATAAATTGTTCCAGATATACTGTTTCTCATATAAGAACAAATTTTGGAAGTAGCGCATTCATTTTTCCAAATCTGAATCCAAAAATATGGAGGTCAAGTTTATATCGGTACCAGTCTGTAAAGAGACTGTAAGTTCAATGTCTCTCGAAAGCCATCGACTAAGATGATTGGGTGGGCCAAGCGAGAGGACGCAGTTTGACCGGATGAATTCCATTGACCTACTAATATAAGGTGCTAGGTAGGTAGGTTGAGGCACATGACCGGCTTACACGTTCGTTGCCAAAAAGCGATCGTACGCACGTATATACACACGCGGAAAGCGACATTCACAATGACAGAATTTTATACTAGAAATTTCGTTCCACTGCAGAGATTTGTCTTTCTTCCATTGATGAATGCAAAAATACGCACGCAGGCATGCGCACTCTCTTATTTTACCTTACTTCTTTAGAGCTCTCGATACCCATGGAGGAACAAGGGGCTCGTTCAACATTCCAGCGTAACCTAGTTATTTCTTAGTTGTAATTTATTGGATGTAATTTATGGGCGACAAAGTTACTGAATACTTCTCCATTTTATAGAAGTGAAGACAGCAATGATATTTAAGTTTGCATGCTTTTAGTTTGCTCAGTTTTAAATAATATCATTATATAAAGAGTTATTTATAAAGTTTATAATATTGATTATATATATTAACTTTAATTTTATTTTATTTTATCATAACAATAAAGTTTGTAATATACAACTAATTACCGTATCGATCAATTTGATATTAATTAAGTATCAATAATTGAAAATAAATCAATTGCAAAACCTATCTCACTTAATTCACAACACAAAGAATTTATTCTTATAAATATCCTAATTCTTGAATGTTATAACGTAAATTGTTTTTTTGAAATTTAATACAAAAGTTTTGTGATTTGAAATTTTTTCCAGTTTTTTGGTTTTTTAATCATTGTGACTTTTAATTTTAATTATTTTGCATATTTGCCGTTTTTATACTTATTATTATCACGAGTTTGATTTTGCAGTGTTTTTAGTTATTTATTGTATTGTATTTATTTTACAATTTCTATAGAAAGAAACAATTTGTGCCGATCTGACTGTAGTGGATTATTTGAGATATGCCAGTACGTTCGTAACTATGTTAGAAAGTATTTTGAGTTATAGTAGTTGGAGAAAATTGCCAATTGTGAATCAGAAGTGTAAACTTCAATGGCGACAGATCCGACGGAAAGTATTTGTCTGCGGTGCATCGAAACTGGTTTGTACGTGTAGTACAAAGTGAACCAAGCAACTGGGACATGCCACATATTGGGTGAGCAAAAAAATGCAGCTTTAACATTTCAAAAAATCCATTGTATGATAATTGATATTGTATGATAATTACAATCGTAAAAATTTATGATCTAATAATTAAAAAATTTTAGAAATTTTATTTTCTCCAATATGAGACATAACTTCAAATCATCTATTTAGGGATATTCTCTATTTATCAGAATAATTCAAAATTCCTTTTACTATGTACAATTTCAAATCCAATAAATAATATATTTTTACCTAATCCCGTATTATAAAATTATAATAATACAGTTAAGATATTACAGTTAAGAATAGATGAATGATTACCTGTCAAAGCGTCAATTATTATTTTTTATACGTATTTTTTGACGAAGAGTGACAACATTTACTCATCCATTTACCTGTCTCCTACTTTTTACCACAAATTAGAGACATGCGAATGCAATATTATCGCACCGTCTCTGACGGAACAAATAGCCTACTACACATTGCCTCGTATTATGCAGACACAGATTGCTATACAATTTCCGTTACGTCAACTGAGACAGGGAAATGGCTTTCGACTTTTGTAATAAACTTCCAGGCACAGATAAGTAAGTAAACGAAACTATCATACGAAATAGGTACACGGAAATAAATATCAAGAATAAATACATATACTTGTAATATGAGTAATTAAGTTAATATTAACACAAATAATGTATTATAAAAACTTGTCCGAATATCGAATTATCTCTAGTATAGAAATAATTAATCTTATAAATTCTTTATTGCTATTTTTATAAAGGATTATAAACTTTTATTTTTTCTAAGAGCAATAGCAAAAACATTGTATTATAATATTTTCAAAATAATATGTAATATTAAATTAAAATTAGTCATCATTGCATAGATTTTTTTTAACAATTGATCCTGAGATGCGGTAACATAGGAAAGTGATCCTCAGGCGTAAAGTTGCACCTATTTCCGGAACAGTGGGAATCTTCCTTGTGTCGAGCGGCACGAACACTTTCGCCGATTTTCCTGATCACTCGCGAAAAGTAGTGAAACAGTCAGTAGCATCCTGTTGAGCAGTAGGTTACTTAACGGTGATTGACAGATAAGCTTGCGGTTTAAGCAAGCGCTTCTCCATCAAAGAAGCTAAAGGAGAGCGTCCCGAGAAAATCAAATGTACGACCATAAACGCGCATGCTCATGCATCGTCCACGGCTGACAAATCCATCTACCGTTTCTCTTTTCGAATCAGATCGCGTTGCCACCGAAAAGATTACGTGACGTGAGTTTCAAACAAACAGTCAATGTATTAATGTAGGTCGATCATTGCATGAGTAAAAATTTCAAACAACTTTTAAGAATTTCTTGTGTAACATTGTCATGCAAAGTACAGCTTTAAAGTTTATAATCGAATAACCTTAAATATTATAAGAAGTAAAATATTTAATTGACATAAAGATGCACCATATCATATAGTTTTATATATAGCGCGCTAATTTAAAATAATATTTTTTAAATATTAATTATAATATAAAATTTATAATTGTGTGTACAGTGTATCCTGTTTTTTTTTGCACGTTTTTTTCCAAATTTTCCTTAAACTTAATTTTTATATTTTAATATTAATTTTATATTTAATAAAAAATTATTTTATAAATTTTATTAGAACGTTTCTCTTAAATCGTTCATTTTTTAATATTTAATCATTATTGTAATTGTTTTTATAAAGTACAGACAAATACTAAAATTTGAATAAATTAACGAATTTCGTAAAAAATAACAACAAATTTAAAATTCCAAAATAAAATCTGCTGATATTAAAACATTGATATAATATTTAAATTTTGAAGAGAGATTTTGATCATAAATATTTACGGCCAATTTTATCTTAAATTATACACAGTATGTACACATATTGAAGAAATAAGCCGATGAAATAAGATTTATGGAATATGACGCAAGAGAAAAACCGTTATAAACGTAAATATATTTTAACTGTTCTTTAAATTAATCCGTTCATACAATATATATTCAATCTTGAATGATTGACTATAGGAATAGCTTTCGACACCTAGTGTCAATGTTCTTCATGCCGTAGCCTCTCAATCGGTATACCAGGTGTACTCGCGATAAAATGGATTCCGTATACTTTCAGAGAGCAACATTCAAGGTCAGTTACTTACTAGAAAGTCGTAGAGAGAAGCTTGGAGGACTCTTCAAAAGATTGCGCCACTATTTTGCGCACTAAAATTAATTAAAATCTCCATATATGATAAGTGCTTCTAAAAAATTAATATATATTATCGTAAATTCTTCATATATATGATATATAAGAATAGAATAAATAAATAAATAAAAACGGTATTTTTTTCTACTAAAGAGAAAATCTGTTTTTAGATACTATTTTCTTTCTTAATTTAACTTTTATTTTAACTTATTTCTTATAGAAAAAAAGTATTTGAAATATTATTAATAAAATAAAATTTTTCGTAAATTGTGTGTGTGTGTGTGTGTATAACAGTTGTAGTAATTTATTTAAATATAAGAATACATGATCATATATAACTGAAGATCTAAATTTTACGTAACAAAGGTATATTTTTAGATCGTAACTCGATTTGCTGCACGTTAGAATCTGCTTTTTCAGCTGTAGCTTGCCATTCATCCATATATACCGTATTTGTGGCGAATTCATGAGTAACAGATTGCTCCGTGGTTGTCGTTGTATCAACAGTTTTTTCAATTACATTTACAATATTAATAGGTGGAGTCTCGTTGAAGATGAAACTTCTTCCTCCTGCATTTACTATCGCTTCTGACTTCAAATTATTTTTTGCCGAACCAGTACTTACGTCGGTGTCTCCGTCTTGGTGGAAGGCGGAATAGCTTGGCGTGTTCCAATTAGAAATTCTAGAACTTGAGTTTATAACTGATGATGGTTCTTGATAATCTTGATAGTCCAGGTAATCAATACCTCCTACATTTGAAATAACTTCTCCTGTCATTGGAATGCGATTAAATCCATTCGCAGTTTCTGTCTTAGTCTCTTTATCGTACATCATTGGCTGTTTGTGGAAACTGCGACCCCATCCACCTCCCCCATAACCGCCGCCGCCTCCTGAAGGTGAACCATAACTACTTGATGGAGGTGCACCATAACTACTTGATGGAGGTGCACCGTAACTACTTGGTGGAGGTGCACCATAACTACCGCTATGTCCGCCACCGCCCGAAGATTTTGTAAGGAGTACTATCTCTTTGTAGTCTGGAAGCCGTTATGATATTATAGAGATGTTAATTGTTACTCAATGCTTTACAAAAGAGTATATAATTTTATTTAATTTTACATTATTTTTATAGACTTTTTTAAAAGAAAATTTATACAATTGACTTTTTACATTATAGACGTTAAAATGCAATTTATAATTATTTTAATTTTTTAGTTAAGCACCAATCAAAAGTTAGTGAGAGCATTTAAATAATTATAACTAATTATAAACAATTAGACACTACAATTAAACAAAACATAAACGGCAACTTTACCTCCTCCTCCTTTCCAAGGGCCACCACCCCCTCCGCCTTTCCCGAATTTGCTCATCAACATCATCATTGAAACCATTAGAGACATTCCGCCCATCATTATACTTTTTAACGACATCAATCCTATTATTTTGAAGGGAAATATTTGATTATGTTTTATCATAATCTAATACAATTTTAAAATATTGTGTAGATATAAGCAAAGTGATATTTAATCATAGAAATATGTTTGCATGAGTAAGCGAAAATACGAAACGATACAACAACATTACCTATGAGCTTCATTTTAAGCATCATCACCATGCCCATCATCATCATCTTGCATTTTCCGCCTTTGCCTCCACCACATCCGCCTCCACCTTTCTTTCCTCGTCCTATAATATATCCATATTTAACAATTTAATACTATGGAAAAAAAATAGTTTCCTGTGTGTAAACAACGTAAAAGTTTAAAAAATTTTTTGATGATCTCAGGCCACGATAAATTTTAGCACGTTTATTTAAGATATTTTTAAGATATTCTCTTAGTCTATACTTTATTTTAATGGCTGTTACGCTAACCTTCTGCTACAGCTGTCTCGTCAAACATCACGTCAATTTGATTCTTTTCTCGCTTAGTATTCCATCTAGGTAGCGTGATACGCAGAGTAAAGGAATCGAAGAAATCATTTATGCTGCGCTCGATACTGACTTCCGAGTCATTCATAGATCGAGCTTTGGATCCACGTGTTATTCTGGTCTTCACCAACTTCACATCTTGCCCAAGTAATGTGATTTCATCGAGGCGACCTACTGTTTCTACGAAACGGATAAAACGTTCTTTGATGCAACCAAATGAAAATTTGATGATGCATTTGCCTATGTCCCTTACGGGAAACTCCGGAAAGTAATCATCGTTCTTATTTTTCATTGAATCATTCTTAGCTGATGGAACGATCTTTAAATCGATTTTGACGCCATTCTTATTAAAGTTGAATATTTGACGTTCGACTGGTATCCTATGTAATTTTGTATCAAGGATATAATCTTTAACGTTTTGTATCTCATTTTGTTCGTAAGTATTCACGTGAATCACACACGTGATCAACAAACAAAGTATGAACATAGATTTACGCACTTTTGCACAACAAAAAGAGTAAACGTTGATATCAGTTCCAATGACGATAACGACGAAGATAACTTTGAGAGGAATACTAAATAACACTAACTGATCTCTGGGTTATGACAATCGTTTATATATATTGAGATTTATGTCATTCGTGGTATTCTCCCATCGTTTTGTCACGATTGTCATTACTTGCAGCGAGACAAATAATCCTGTAATAACAAGGTTGAAATGGTAAATCAGAATCATTTATCAAGGTTTAGCCACAATCATGGATGGCATACGCAACAATAAAACAAATTTTTTCAGATACTGCATTGCGATCTGCTGTAATACGCTGACACGCTTATACAAACATTTACAGAATAAGACAGTGACAGTTTGTGCCACTTCTAAATTAATTGTAAGTACGTGTAGAACAGAAACTTAAAACTTAAGAATTTCAAAGTTCATAATTGAAACAAAAAGACAAGGATGTAGAATAGAAACTAATAATAAAAACATTTAATAATTGTCTGTTAACAAAATTGTATTAATTAGATTTCGCTCGTTTTTTGCAATGCAAAGTATAAAGAAATTCGATCTAAATCGAGCAGTAATAAGATGTTTTCACAAAATAAATTTCAATTTTACAATGTTAGTACAGCATAAAAATAAAAATATATAAAGAATATAATGTAAAAATAATATAATGAAATCGAACGTTTCGGAACTTACCTTTTTTCAGCGATTCTTGAAGATGTTACAAAATCATAGAGATGAATAATCTTGTGGTCTAAGCGACATAGTGTGATACAATTGTTTCAAAGAATTAATTCTCCTGTTTTTATGTGAATTGTGTAATAAAATGTGTGAAAACAGGAGCATCTTTACGTATTCGTTCAAAGTATTTTAGCACTTGCGCTCAACAGTATCAGATGAATACGATCAGTTCTTTATGAAAACATTTTATCACTGCTCGATTTAGACCGAATTTCTATATACTTAAAATTGTATTATTTAATTTATAATTCTTCGCAATATATTAGAATAAATTATCAGAGAAATTTAAATTTTTAATTGTAATTTGACTCTTACTTCGCCCTTTTTAATGTTATTGATTAATTTATAAGAATAAGAATGTTTGATTCTAATTTTTTATTATTTTTATTATTGCTTTTACACTTTTTGTTTGTTAATAAAATCTTATTAGTTTAAAAAGTTCTTTAATACTTTTTGTAGATAATATGATATAAAATTATTGTTTCGCTATTATATATTAACAAAAAATAATAATACATAGGATGTGTATGCGCCTTGAAGACTGCAACACTTTATGATCTGATGCAAAACTGTGATGTCTAACGACTACTCTGGTGGTCTAACGTATGTGGTGAAGGTACTGGCCTTATTACTTTTTAATTGGTCCGTACATTCACCTTCAGAGATATCTATGTTTAACAGTAACGTAAATGTAATTACCGTAACAGAAAGTACGCGTACTTTTTAGCGCGTGATGTACTTGTATAAATGCATTTACGCCAGATAGAAGAGTTCAGCGTAATTCCTTCATTTAAACTAACAAGTTTCTGGTAATTATCACTAAACAATAAAACAAGTACTTACATTATCATAGATAAACTATATCGTGCATACTCTGTGATTTATTAATTTTTTAACTATTGCAGTTATTACAATAATGACAATACTAATATTTTTATAAATGTTCTTTATTATTACAACTTTACAATAACGAAATAAATATCCAAAAATCATGTACATGATCTTGGGCAACTCTGCTTACTCGACGATGATACACTTTTTCGATAGGTATCAATCGAAAATGCAACAGTAGTCGCAATAAATACCTATATGACTATGATAATAAGGGTGACAATTCGTGAATCGATGAAATGAGATTGAACGAGATCTTAGAAGCAGAAAATGTCATGATGGCGATAAAGAAAGACAAGAGATGAAAACAGAATGAGATGAAGAGAAAATGTAGACAAATAGAGAAAAAAGTTGATAGTGCTTAAGAATGAAAGAAAAGAAACAGCAAAGAAAGTCTGTGAGGTAGAAATGTGCTAAAGATTTTATCGTGTATCGGTGGTGTACAAAACACCTTGAAGTTGATTAGATGATTTTAATTCTGCAGAAGCGATCTACGATCGTGCGCGTTGCCGTATTTTAGTACGGCCTGTTGAAGAGAGTCATGGACGGTATCGAGAGACCTTCCGTATCCGGAATGTCCGTATCCATGTCCGTGATGCTCCTCTGAGCTATGCGTATGCGAGCTGGAATATACCGGTTTGCTAACAATTTCGTACGTAGTCTTTTTATCGCCACCGCTCGCTAAAGATTTTAATCCAATGATAGCAGACAACATCAACGCCATGAGACCGGTCATCAGAGCTTTTCCGGCAAGAAGCGCGAGTGCGCCAAATCCAATTGCCCCGAGGGTTCCCTTCATCATCATCAAACCGGCCATTAAACCACCATAACCGCCTTTGTCTTTTTTACGTCCTGTTAAATATATAATATTATTATCATTATTATCTCAAATTCTTTTCTTTTATTTGTTGTTCTTTTATTTATATTTATATGTGTATATATAATAAAACAGAACTTATAGTGTAATTTGAAAATATACATTATAATTTTTATATTGAAAAAAATTGCATTAAATTGTAAAAAAAAAACATCTTGCAAACCAACGTTAAGCGACTCATTATCTTAGTTTACAGTTTTGCGAATAGCTAAACAGTGAAATTTGATATTCTAACCTGTTTCAACATTTTGATTGCCACCCAAGCCGAGTTGCGCAAGTGTCTCTTCGTTGAAGCTTCTGGTAGCTTCAAAAGTTTTCGGATCAAAAAGTTTGATGGAAATCGAATGGCTGTTAAGATAACTGCCAACTTTGTGAATCAAATAGGCATCTAGCCTTTTTTCAACATCATTTGGAAAATCCCTCGCCAAATTGGCGACTACTTCCGAAGCTGGAACATCAGCGGAACCATTCTCTTTGATCACAGATACACCTGGTAAGATACCGATGTTTTCCTGCTCCGATAATTTATCCAGGAAGGATACCACGTCCAACTTAAGACACGTGGCACTATATGACTTCCCGCAATCTTTGTTCAAATTAGATGCCAGATTTTCCGGCGCATCTTCTACCAATTGCCTCGTGGTGCGTCTTTCGATTTCCGCGTTGGCGCATCCCGAAAGAAAAAGTACCAGAAGAAATAGATGGCAACGTGACAATTGGACAACGTGCGTAATTCCTTTCATCATGAATTTTTGAATATTTTCCTGAAGTCTGGCTGGAGAACGAATTGGTGCAGTTATTTTTTTCGTCCCAAGTCTATGGATCGCCAGTAACGTGACGATATCCTTAAAGACGAAGGACCTTATTGAAGCTGACGGATGAGACGCGTATCGTGCACTGGGCATACCCTCGGATACTTGCAGTATATATAGAGCGAGTCAACGGATAGTCCTTTTTCCTTTTTGCCTTTCGGTCGTTTCATACATTCTCCGTAGACGAGAGCACCGGCGACGGAACTCTCTTCTTTGCGGACGTTGAAGAGGAGGCAGGGGCCTCTTGCAGCCGCCCAGCAGCAGTGGCGAGAGGGAGCGTCAAATAGAGCGGAGAATTCGAATCTGAGTCAAATTTACGGGGAAAAACGTTACCAATGAACGAGTATGAGATGATGAATGAGAGCGAAGGCTGATCGCATCGACGCCAATTCAATCGTGTTAATGGCACAGTTAATGCGTACGCAATCAATCTTTAACAATGCAATTATTTTTTATGAGCGCATCGTTACTCTTATATGTTTATCGATGTTGTAGACTACGAGGATTTTCTCCATATTATTTTCACTTTTAGGCACGTTTATGTTGTAACAAGATAGTTTATAAATATTAAGAATTACATTACACACAATTTTTTTGTAATATATCTTAACCAGAAGTTATTGGTTGATCAACTTTGAATCGGCACTGATTCAACATTGATCGACTAATCATTCCTTACTGAGGAAAAAAATCTTCATTTTTCCAATTATGTAAGCCTCGCTCACATAATTATTTTACCAAATAATAAACATGTGGACTATAATATAAGACATATAATATAGAGTATCTGTGATCCGGATGCCTAGAAATCGCTCTTGCACTATCTCTAGTAGCACAATTTGTTGGCACAATAATGGTCCAATATACATTTAAGCAGTAAGTTGTTGGTATGATCTCGCAAAAGATTAATAACTATTTTATAAAGGTGAAATCAACTTGAGATTAGAGATAATACTATGGTAAAAGGCTCGATTAACCAAAGCGCACGTTAATTATCCGAATCGACAATCGCTATTAGTATATCCGATTACCCAGCGCGAAATCACTTTCGATTTCAAGAACGAAACCAAGAGAGCAACAGCATACGTTACGTTTGCGAAGTTTGCGAACTAAACGCGAGTAGAATTGTTTGAAAAGTTTGTCAATAAGTATATTGTGAAAATAATCGCGGGCGAGGCGAAACGAGACGAGAGTCCTACTTTAAATCAGTCCAGTTTAGCTAGCTCGTAGGAGATCCGATTTTCGCGCGCTACGCTCGAGCAACGGCGCTTCAGACGGATATACCGATGTGAAAGTACGCAGTCGATTTTCACGGGCAATCCGATGAGGTCTTACCGTTGCGTGCGTGTGTGCGTATACACAATACGATGAACGCGTGCACGTTTCGATATCACGCGTTTGCATGTCCATGCGGCAGGTGTGTCGACTTAGAACGGACTAGCCTTCTTTCCAAGACATCCATTTTACCATTTGTTGCTTCCTTTTCACGTCGTGCCTTCCTTTCGTTAATAATTTCTGACACGTCGTGCTGATTTTATTCTCACTCAAAACTATGCGCGACAGATCGAATCGATAGTGGGCGTTGACTTTACGATCGTAAACATCGATGAAAAGAACAACATGGAATACAGTTCTTCTTTTTTCATTCATTTCTGTTCTTAATTAAATAAAAAAATCATAGGAATGAAAAAAGGTATCTTACGCAGATTAGATTTAGTCACGCTTATTGACGCATTTTAACGTTTTTTTGGATTTTTTTTATTCTATCATTCATATAACCCGTGTTATTAAATGTTTCCTGTTGAGCTACAAGCATTAGTTGAAACCACAATATTGCATAGTATTTGGAACGCTCGATAAAAAATCCAGTTGTTTTTATCTCGCGATTTATCCTCAAGTAATTTGCGGCAGATGAAAGACAGAAAGAAGAGAGGTACGCAAAAGTTAATATTTTTATTTAAATGTATTTAATAGGCCTTATATTTTCAAATCTTTCATGTAAATTTTGAAATATGTTGAATTTATCAATTAAATATTAATTGTGTATAAATATTTAAAAATATCAAAATTAACTTTTCTAAAATAAAAATAACATTTTTTAGAATGAAAAAAGAATACTTTTTAAATTTTTTTAGATCCCTCCTTAAATTATTTTTTAATATATGAAATTAAGAAGACAGATACGCGAGACCTTTTTAAGTACAAGATGTTACAAAAATGAAAAATAGCATATATTTACAAGTGCGAATATAACGTCATGGCAGGTGAATTCATATGAAGACTGTGATTGTGCGTTCCGTAACGCCATAGTTACCCCATTTTCAGTCGAAATTGAGAGAATTATTGTTTCAAGAAAGTCGCTCACACTCACCCAACAATTTGCGACAATTCAGGGAATGTTCACGCTGGATCAGAAAATATGCCAATAATTTCTCCCCCGATGATTACCGTAGAAAATCGTATTCTTACGCATCGAAATTGTTGGAATGTCAGCACAATAGTACTGTTAGGAATTTAGAGAAATATACATAACATGGAGAAATTGATTGTATCTTGGAAAGCTAGAAATTACCGAGCCCGTTTGTTTACCATATTGTCCGTTAATAAACGGTACCAACAAAATTTTTACGGAAGGCCTGTTTCCTTCCAAGAAAATAATTTTTATCTTTCTCTTCTTTGGCATACGCACAGGAGAATACAAATTGTTAATATATTCTATAAGTGGTTAGAGGTTACCACCGCTCCTTTGCCATAGAAAATTTAAGATTCTAATGCTTTACCGGGAATCTGACACATTACTTTGATTTCAGACATTTCTATATTTGTACAAAGGCAATATATTGTCATATTAATATTTTTTTCTTTAAATTTCTATATATGTTACAATAAAATGGTTTTTGATATGATGTATATATATATGTATATCTATATAGCTAGAAATATATATCAGAATAATATAAAAATAAATTTTTTAAATAAAAAAGATCGTATATCTACGTTATTTAACTGCTTAAAATATTCCCTCTTTAACAATTTCTTATTTGTACATATATATATATTTATACATATTAATTTGTTATTGAAAATAATAGTTTTTTTACAATTAGATAGTGTATGAATTATTTTAAGAAAGCGTATAATATAAATACGCGCATGTAGCGCATATATAATTTATGTGTGAAGAAAGGTAGAATTACCGCATCTCTAATACACTGGGTGCTGCTCGAGTGATTACATAGACCTCGTTAATTTGAGATCGCATATCCGTTATGCACTCGAAATGCAATGCGTGCGTTTATACTTTCGCAATTTTTACGCGGCAGTCTAAAGTGAACGTTACATACCGCGAATTTCTTCTGCCTTGGAGGTGGGGATTCGTAAGAATAGACTAGTCTAGAGTCACTATATTGCATTGCGATTTTCTCAGTGAGTTACATTTTAAGCAAACTGGTCGCTTCTGGCCCAGTCAAGATGCGAAATAATTTATTTTCGCAATAATAGCCTTCAAATTAGATAAATCTGCAAAAAATTCTTATATCTACTCTCTTAGCTAAAATAAAATTAAATACTTTCGTCACCAAATTTTATATATTATCTTATATTATTTTATATATATATATATGTATATAATACTTTTACATTATAGCATATAATATTTATAAATGCCTAAATCATTTTTATGAGGTATATTATTATATATAATAATAATTACTATTGTACATATATCGTATCGAACTATACATTTGCAAATAAATTCGTTCAGTATTTCGTTTCTTTAAATTTGAATATGTATATATTAATACATTAAAAATTTATAATTATATAGAGAAACACTGCAAACACTTTACATAGTACATATATTTATTCAAAAAATATAATAAAAAGAAATAATGTTATATAAAATATAAAAATTTATTAAAATTATAAATAATATAATGGAACAGAATAACATTTTTTGAATATCACAAATTTTATTTTTAAAAGTACATGTCATTATTAAGAAGTTAATTTATTTTTATTCTATTCTTATTTTACATATGTGAAATTATACAGAAAAATCATTTAAAAAATTTAAAAACGTAAAAATGTTTTGTACACTTCTACATTTGTAATTTCACGACCCGTCGCTTATACAATAAAACATTTATAATTCGTTTATATTATCCTATATTAGAGAGGTTTAGCAATATTCTCAAAATTAATAAATTCTATAAGATCTAATATAATAGTAGATATTATATTAGATTTCATAGAATCCTAAAATGTTCGTATACAATTTTAATTATTATTAATTATTACCGTGAAAGGAAGTCCCAGTCGTTCAATAACATAAATAAATAATTTAAACAAATTGATTAATAAAATTATAATTTTAATATTTTATTAAAATAAATTTTTAATATATAAAAAATCGTACATTAAAGATGTTCACTACTTGCAGAATGTCTGCGAATTTATAAATGTATTAAAGAAAGATTGCCTAAGCATCGGTCAATCAGAGCTTGCGTTCTTCATCATGTTCGCCACTTCTCGACGGTGCTGGCCTCTCAAACAGTCTATATATACCCGTATTCACTCTTCCACTTCTCTTGAGCGACTTGACTAATCACAACCGATGCCGTTATTTCAATCCCTACCACAGTCATATCTACTGGTAGAAGTGGAGAACCACGTGGAGGCATTGACACACTGACCTTGATACGTGAGAAGCATTGAGGGAGAAGTCGGTAAACCAATCACAGCGACAGTCCGCTTTCCTACCTTGCTCCTGACACAGTAACCCCATTTCCTTCCTCTTCCTAGTTCCCCACCTTGATCCGGTCTTTCTTCGCTTCCCCCACCCGCGCAACATCATTCTATCTTTTCTCCGTCCATGAACTTCCATCTAGGTCATTAGCCTTCTCTTCTGACTGACAGAGTAACCTGCTTAAAGCTACGTATATCTATATGTGTGTATATGGCTCTCTTTTTCGATATTTATTTATTTACAAATTGTAAAATCCTTGCCGCAAATATATCCTTATTATTGATGTCTTCAGGATAACACATGTTTATTTAGGTCGAGCCTTAATAAGATGTGACATATCTGAGCTTGGCAATTTACCAATGTCGCAATGATATGACGTTTCTGACGTACTCGTCGATGTCACGATGACATAAAGTATCCAATTTTTGATATCTCACAATGATTAAGACAAAATTTTATAAAAAGATGATTTATTTTATTTTATAAAGCGAGCATATGCAGCTACGCAATAAATAAATAAATAAATAAATGGATATATGATGACGAAGGAAGTATTACAGTTTATGGAATGTCATGATATGGATAATGTTCGCCATTGTATTCCGGTGTCCAGCCTTTGTAAGGTTGATTGACCTCTTCTTCTGACCTGTGCCAGTGATCATGATGAATTTCGTGCGGTCTTACAATTCCATAGGAGACTCTTGCAGGCGGAGGTGGTGTAACAAGGGCCTTCAAAGCTACCGCGCCAGAAATCAAGAGCGACACAAGACCTGCGCCCAAGCCCTTCAAACCTATCAGAGCGATCATGCTAATTACGATAGGTAGAACGATTATTGCTTTTAGCTTCAGCAAAATCAAAAGTGGCATAATCATTCTCTTCAATTTCGTGCGTGCTGTAAACAATATATATAATTATCTCGTAAGTAATAGCATTCCTTGAAATGTTTAGTTAATGTATGCATGTGTATCTAGTGCTTAACAAAAGAAAGTATGTATAAAAAACACTATTTAGATATCGAATTATAATGCGAACCTTATTATATGTACATATATGTAGTGTGTGTGTAATATGTATCATATATAGTATATATATAAAATAAAAATATATATACATATATGTATAATTGTACATACAAATTTTGTATTATATATGTAATAAGAATATAGAGCACAATTAATACAAAAAATGATATCAATAATCGTAGAATATATGGATAAACGGAGATTTCTAAACGGACGTTTATCATCCAGTCTACTTTCTTCGAACGCGCGACACTCTCGTTCAAGGTCCTTCTTAGACGTCTTCTCGCGGTAGCCGTCCCAGAAACCCGGAATCCCACCAGATCTACCAAACGGTAACCCACTTTGATCCACTCCCACCACCGGCATTTGTTTTCGCGAATGTGATAGAAGTAGAACGCGTTGCTGTAGCTTTCTACGTACGAAAATCTTTCATTCCAGTCGCTCTCATATCTCTCTCTCAATAGTTATTAATAAATATTAACTATGCGTACTCAAATTTTTCAGGATTTTTATGAGAAAAACATTTTTTATAAATATGTGAGTAAAAAATTTTGAGGTAATTTTTATAAATATGAGAAAAACGGTAAACTGCAGCGCTAGAAAGAGATACATGGAGGATGCGTGAATGGTATTTCGGCCACGATCGAATTGAAAAGAAAGATACAAGTTACACTTTCCAACCAATGAATCTCGAGATTCATGAGCTACTTAAATCTCATTGGCTAAACTTTAGAAAGGTGAGGCACTATAAGTTTGCGCCCATTGAATGATGTATTCATATCAGATCGGAACGTTAGAGAAGAACAAGAAACTTTTGTTAGACCAAGTGTCTAACACAAGTTTGACGAGGATCTAACAAGAACTTTGAACATAATGTTACTATCAAAACTTCGAAAATTTAAAAAATGTTATTATTAAAAACTGTTATTATTATTAAATGTTATTATTATTATATTAAATTCTTGTGGAAGAAAAGTACAAATTTAATATATGTACGTATAAAAAGATGAAGTGTATCGATATAAGATCAATCTGCAAATTAATTTATGTTATTTATAGATATAAAAAATATATTAAATCTATTTATTAAATATAATTTATAGATATATATGTATATATAGATATTATATATTTATAGATATTAAAGAGAAAAAATATTTAATATGTTTATGCTAATATATAAAATGTGTTCGTGTAATATTAAATATGATTAATATAGATTTAATTAATTCACAAACTTAATAAATTAATACCAGTTTACGAGTACCTGTAGTGAAAAATATTTTTGAAAATTATGAAATATTTTTTAAATTATACGAGTAGGAACATATAATAAGTACTACAAAATATTCATTATAATATTTTATAGTATAGATGTAGATATATGTAATATCCCAAACATTTTTATACTTTAAGAAAAAATTATTGTATTTTTAGAAAAAAATTGCTTTTTAAACTTATTGAAAGTATATTAAAAAACGTAATCTATGTATGGAGTTTATAGAATTTAAAAATAAGTATTTCAAATGACATTCCCATTATCAGCAAATTTCCTTAAATTATTCCAATCACAGTCTCGTTATGCAAATTCACAAAAACTTGAAAGGGTAAACGCTCCAGTTATCTCTAATTTACAAATTTGACAGCATTATTCTATTCATTAAATGCAAAAAAAAACAATCAGTTCCGTTTTATAAATTCAATTTACAATAATTTTTTGTAATGCATCGTTTACCTTCGGATGTTCCACGTGCCAAGCTTCTGAGTTCTATATCGATGTTTCTCTGACCGAGAGCGCGTGCGAACAAACCAGCAGTTGAAGCGTCATTAGGAAGATTAATTTGAATTTTTCGAGTTCTCAGGAATTTTTCGATCCTGCTTACGAGCGGATCCGCGCTCTCTTCCGATGGTTCACCATCCTCCGTAATCTTTTCCAGGGTTATTATATCGTCGTAAACGTCAATGATGTCCTTTCTGTTGATTTCGTCCATCGCCCTCATGAGTTTCCCTTCTAGATACTCCAAACTATTTCCATCTTCTTGGCCTGAACCAGCTATCACCAACGTCAGCAATTGCAACGTTAAGAGGATAATTACTTTGGTGTTCATAGTTACAAAGTGCTATATAGCGTGACTCTGAAGAAGCGTTTTTGACTGTTTGCCCCCGGGGACATTTTTCTTTTATACGTACCATGATCGACTAGTGGTGGGGCCATATTGAACCATTTGGCAAGCAACGTGCAAGGGCAGTAGTGTCAAGAATTTTAATTCTGCCGACTCTCTGAAGAGCTAACTTGAACATGCAATGCACAAGAATCGCGTGACGAAGAATACGTCGACTCAAGCAAATTTCCCTTTTACTTTCAGAATTTTACTATCTAACCTAAGAAATTTCTTAAGCTTCTCAGGCTAAAAAGTCTTTTCCAATAAAAAATAATTACAAATTATCATAAATTTTTATATGAAAATAATCATTAAAGTTTTTCTAATGAAATTAAATTAAATTTAAAAAATATTATATTTTAACGCTCAACTATTCTTCTTTTAACGTATATTACATTTTTTGTATAAATTTATTGTAGAAAAGAAATTTGTTTCAATGAAGAAATTTCTAATTAATTTGCATACATCTACAGTTTATTTGCATCACATATACATACAATAGTCTGTAAGGCTGACTCAAAGCAATTATCATCTCCTATGCTTACGATTGGCATACATCATCAACGCCTTATTCGTACACAGTTTGGTGAAAATTAGATTTCCGTGTCTCTTGGTGACACGGCATGGTATGTAAAACTTGTGTCCCAAATCATGCGGTTGGAAGCCGCTTGAACAAGAGAAATGGAACGAGCGACAGAAGTGACGGCCAAGGCGAAAGAAAGACCGAAGAAAAGAAGTGGGAGTGTAAATGACCTGTAGGTATGCTCATATACGATTGGAATCGGATATGAGCTTGGTCGGCTGCAGTTGCACGCCGAAAGCTGTCAATATTTCGCCTTAGCAGAAACTAATCACGTACGAGGTTTTCTATGCACTGTGCTGCATCGAATCTTATTGTAACGATAATTTCTCTAAATTAGAAATTTTATTCCGATTTAATTTCACAAGAACGGAAACAAAGAATTTTCTACAAAAATATTATCTGGGATAATAAATAATTTGTTAAATACAAACAATTTAATTGTTTAATACATACAATTAATAAATAATTTATTTAATCGATAAATTACATACGATGTACATATAAATACTATAATCTAGTCGTAGGTGGGTCCAATGGCCTCGAGGAGATTTTTTGGCTCCGTGGGATATGGCTTCCAAATTTCTTCATGGCAGATAACAAAAAATGTCTTATTTAATCGTTGGCAGTTGGTACGTGCGCAGAATATGCCAAATTTTGGGCGTCGACTTTTGCATCAGCGTCAAAGCTTCTATATCCTTGTTGCTGTGATCCTGGGGACCCACTGCTAGCAGCCCAACTTCCAGTGGGACCGTGGTCATACCAAATAGGCGGAGGATTTCTATTAAAGAGACTACCCACGCTGCTACCGCCTAAAAGCTTCTGGAATATCATGTAGCCGGCAGCAAGCAAGGCGAATTTACCGAAGATTAAAGCTTTTATAGTTATCAGACCTAAGCCGAGAAGCAAAAGCGGTGCGAATGCGAAGACCTTGAGACCCGCTGCAGCAATCAATGGCAAAACTAGTTTCTTGATCTTGCCACGTCCTAATCAGAAGAAAATAAATTAACATAATTGGTTTTAGAGATTATGAGATTATGATATCGATATAAAAAATGCATCAACAATATAAAGATGCTAAAGTTAAGTTTTAGTTATTTAAATGCAAAAATATAAAATTTTTATTTAATAAATGTAAAAACACTACAAGCTTATAATAGTAAAAGTAAACTTAATATTAAGTTTAATATTAAGCTCAATATTAATTTATCAAAATCCTTTGTTATATTGAATCATTAACTTTTTAATATATATATATATATA